TGATTGGAGAATTTTATTAGCAATTTCTGAGTGAAAACTGCTTCTACACCAAATAGTTTTCAGCGTATCTCAAAACAGAAAACTAAGATAATTTTTATCTCAATTTTTGACAGCAGTGAGACTAAATAGTGAGCACATGGTGACTTTTGCTTAAGATTCCTTTTTTCTGATGTTTCTCCTGAGAGAAAAAGCCCCCAGCAATCTCACAGTGCGTCTAGAGCTTCAAAAACTATATTTGATGTCAATTTCAATTTAAACAATTTTCATCAAATTCTTCTACGATAAAATTATTTTTGTCTTCAAAGGGGTTTTAGTGGAAATATCTGAGAAAAAGCCGACATTCTGATACGTTTCTCCTCATCACTTCCTGACATTTCAATATTTTATCTCAGCAAATAAAAGGTGCAAAAGGCAAAAATTTTAAGTAAAAAAAAGTACAGTCTCAGAGATTACCACCAAACTTCTCCTGCACCTTTATGAAAAAAATAAACCTCTATATTAAGAGCTTCACAAAGCTGAAATTTATTACAGCCCTGCAATACGGAAACTGTCTTTATCCAAGGCCAACACAAAGACATATAACCTGGTCTAGGAACAAATCCTAGACTCCTGAGCAATGACAAAAGTAATATACATCTAATGAATCTGATTCCCTCTGTCTGATGTGATTAAGTTTTCAGGAAGTCAAAGGATGCATTCAAACCTAAATGGTCAAATATGTTAAGTAACATTATACACTTACTGTCACATTATATAATCACTTCTAAATGTTGGTGATGCTAATGCTGCTGAAACATTACACACTTAACCTTTCAATAGAAAGAAGAGTAATGCATTACTGTATGTGCATTTGAAAAAGGTATTATGATGTAAAAAGTATATCACCGTTCAAAATGTTGGGGTCGGTAAGATATTTTAAATAGACCTTTAAAATAAACCTTCTTCATCCCTCACAGAACTGGAGGCTTTTCTACTGTGAAGGATTGTGCAATATTCTACCCAAGATTGTTGAAAGCTATTCTAAGCTAAGGCAAAGGCTGGACCTGCCCCTTATTAGGTTCTTGAGATCAATATATTGTGAGGGGGGGTTCTGTTATCTTTCCCACCCTCCAATAAAGTTAGCAGGATCCTTTATAGGTCATTGGCATGTACATAAACAATGCTGATTTGCACATTACATGCCTAAATTGGGAAAATTACCAACAAAGGCCTACTTATCTTCTTTCCAAACTGAATAATGTCAAGCTAGAAAATGTCCGCTACAGAATAAAATGTTGGTTGAACATCCCTTTTCCAAGCAGAAAGCAATCCATAGTATTAGCTAATCATTATGAGTGTCTTCTGCACATTTTTAACGCTTATTTTTCATACTTACTGCATTATCTTACTGCATATAAATGCAAAGGTGTAAATCCTGAAATAGAGTTTAGATGGGCGTTTTGGGCAATCTGTAATTGTTCCCACACCTGTCAAGCTTTGATTTGCTTTTGCTCCGATAATGGGTTTAAAGGAGGGAAAAGGTAAAGAGGTAAAGCCAGCAGAATGCTTCTGGCATAGAAATTACTGTGAGAGCATGAAAGGTTGGAGTGCATTCTGGCTCTGCTCAAAAGAAGCACAAACATGCAGACTAAAAAAAAAAAAACTTGCAATGCTTCAAATGTCACCAAATTTTAAAAGAACACTAAAGACTCAGCTTAGAAAAGCTACTGAACTGCTTTCAAAACATGGCCTGTCAGTAGTGCTAGCTGATATTGGTGGAACTGTCCTAAAAATGACATGGAGGTCATTTTAACACACAGAAAACCTTACAAGGCAGAGCTTTTGAAAAAAGAACACAGGATGGTGGTACCATGGTTCTTTGGTACTGATTGACACCATGTTCATCTGCCATGGTATTTACACAATACTCCAAAGTATTTCAAAGTATATAATGGTAATACTGTGGCACATGTCCACAAATCATGGTATTGCCATAGCACCACATCCAAAAACCATGACTAGGGCTGGGTATCGAGCTTGAAACTTTTTAGGCACTGACCGAATTTCCTCGATACTATTGAGTATCGAAAAATGTCTTCCAATCTGTACCAAATTTCGATACCTAAGGGCTAATCGGGTCAATGTCAGTGAGCCAGTAAGCGTGCAGCATGCTTGATGTGCCTAAATCAAGTGCTGGTGATTGGCAGAGCCGATCCTCCCTATACGCAAAATACGCAAGCTGTGTAGGGCCCCCGATTGCTCTCAAAGATGATTTAATTTTAGTTTCGTTTTTTAATTTGGCCAGCGCTTATGAAAACATGAATGATAATTTCTTTTCATGCAGTGCGCTGTCGCCCTTTCTACGTAAAAATCCATCAAATCATGTAATGTGAATGTCGTACAGTCTTGCTCGAGACTAAAAAAAACGAGTTGAAAGCGTACCGAGCCGCGGAAGAGACACTGTTTCTCAAGCGCTTTCCGCGAGCGTGATTCCAGACAGAGTGAAACACGGACAAATGCATTTCATTCATTCGTTTATAACCACTCATACCCCACTTCAATCATAAATAATTTTATTGCCCAGCCCTAATTTGTACAGTTTTGTTAGTGCTATTTAATAGCTCTTCCAAGCTAAATAAACCTTTACTGTAAAAACAATGCTGGTTGCTGCAGACAAAGAATCATAAAATGAAAAATGTTCACATCTGTAATGCTCTATAATATGCCTAATAAAACTACATGAAATTTGGATGCAACCTTTTCGAAAACAGAAAAAGCTCATCAGAACAGTTCCTAAAATCCAGACTGTGCTCTCTTTAGTCCACAGAACCACATCAGCTATTGCGAAACCACCTAGTGACACTAGCAGGGGATTTGACTTGACAATGAACACACAACACAGTACTCTGACACAGACAAGCTGCAAAACAATGAAGTTGAATCAAAAAGAGACAAAAATGACAGTTAAAGTGTCTGGTGAGATAAAGCCTTTGTAAGAGGGAAAAATGTGCCAAAGACAAGCAAAAATGCACAAACAACCACAGCAGACAGCTATTGCTTGTGATTTGAATCATAAACCCTTCATGCTGACTAGCCTCATTAATACTTTCAGAGGAACTGCTGTGGAACCACAGCTATACCTGAGAAACAACAACATCTGTTCAAAACACTCTATATGAAGAAATCATGGAAACTCGTACAAGGTCTACAGAAAGTCTAACATTTTACAAGCTACATCACTCAGAAACCAAACCTAGAGGAAAACTGAAATGCTTATAGGTTGCTCTTTCATATTTCAGGAGTTATGTTGGGTTTGAGCACCGATTGGGTCTCAGATGTTTCTCTTAAAATCTGTTAGGAGGTCTAAAAATAGAAACAAATGAAAGAAGTGTTGACATAGCAGCTCAGATCATTTGAGTTCATAATGAGAACTCTTGCTTTTCTTCTATAGACTTTTAGTATCTTGCAAGTTTGGTTCAGAATTGAATTAATTCCCTATTATTTTAGTCCCTATTACTAAATTCCAATTCAGTTTCTGCAATAAGCATGATGCAGAATTGCAACTTGAATTTGAATGTAACAATGTAAAATGAATTAAATAGAACAAAATAATATAACCAGAAAAATCAAGAAATGCAAAGTTTGTCAAGATACGTTTTTTGAAAGTTCTGAATTTTTTTTTAAAGTCTTTAAGTTTGAAAGTTATGCCTTATGGACAGAAATAACAATGGAATGATAGACAGAATGATAGATGAAACAAAAGATAGATAGAATGATAGAACGACAGACAGACAGATAGATAGATAAGATAGATAGATAGATAGATAAGATAGATAGATAGATAGATAGATAGATAGATAGATAGATAGATAGATAGATAGATAGATAGATAGATAGATAGATAGATAGATAGATAGATAGATAGATAGATAGATTCACTAAAATAAAAGGGTGTCAATTCCTCAGTTCTGAATTTTGCACAACTCTGGTTTCTTGGCAAATTTGAGCACAGATTGTAGCTCTAGAGTTGCATGTGAGACTACTGTGTTTTTATTCTCATGAGAAAAAAATAGAAACATGAGACTTTAAGAAATATCTCTATTCACGTTCCACTCAAACACAAACCAGATATTGAGACATTAAAGAGATCATTTGGGGTTTTCTTTCCCACAGGGGGATATGAAAAGCAACCACATAAAAATCTGAATATCAGAAAACGGTATCTTTTGACATAGATCATTGGATCATGGAAACGACATTTGGAAAATGCTGCATCGTCTATTAGAGCGGGCACACACTGAGGGAGAAAGCCTCGCAGGGCTTATCGCACGACTTCACATGGTACATACACATATATGGCTGCCAGCAAGTCAAAAGAAAGGAAAAAGCACCATTTAAAGATCATTCCATGCTAGAGGGCTGCTGGAACCACGGGCATAAATGTTCCCCTTCCCTCTGAGCACCGACACAAGTCAGAATGCTGGCAAAGAACAAGCCAGCACTGGTCTGTCAGAGCTGATGAAGCGAACAGTTCAGACGCCCAGAGGAACAAGAGGAGAAAAAAAAGTTAGAGATAAAACAACAAAAGAACAGCTGGAAATACGAGGGGGAAAAAAGAAACGGAGTTTGAAATGAGATAAGAGCAGCTGCTGTTCACAATTATTGACTGTATATCCATTGATTGATTCATTTTCATAACTCTCAATAAGTACGAAATAAGAACTATCCAGCAATCGCTTGCAGATTCTGTTGAGTTAGATGAGTTATAGATTATGCAAAAAATTCCCTATCCGAGACAAAGCATGCAGCATTTCCAATCGATTTTGCCCAGTGGCTCTTAAGTGGTCTTTTCCTGCTGCAAAACATGTAAAACTACTAGACCAAACCCACCTGCTGCTTTTCAAAGGGACATTTACTCATTAAATTTCCCAATAGGGTTGATTCCCCACAGACAGACAGGCTTATGCTGAGCAAACAATGTTGCTTACTGATGCTGCGCACAAAAGGAGAAAGTGACTCACCTGAATACGCCCAATAGGGTTCCCCAGATGCCCTCCGCTCTCTTTGAGTGGCTGAGCTCCCACGATGCTCTGTTTCCACATGAGAAGCTGTCAGAGATAAATCAGATGACACTATAATGACTTTCCATTAACATTCAATGCAAAACACGATCAATAATGCAATATGGTCCACCTTAGAAAATACTCTATACTGCAGCTCCTAATGCCTGTATTCTTACCTCCATCATTTTACTAGAACTGCAAACATGCCGTGTCTCTTGACAGAGTCGCAATAAAAAGTAATAATAACACTAATAATAACACTCAAAGAGTACTCAGCGGGCCTCCGAATCCTGTGAAAAACCTGGCACTTTGCTCCTCTCATTAGAAACATTCACACCAGCTGAAGTTCCGGTCGCCATAATTACCAAAGAACAGCATGATTTGTAATTCTGAAAGAGTAGTAGGAGGTTGTGCTTAACAAACAGAAAGTTTCTTTTTGATTATCAGGCTTCTTTTAGTCTCACTTGTCAAGTCAGAGCTCATGAATTGATCGACTAAAAAAATTGAACCAACAGAGCAGAAATAATAGGACAAGTTATTTATTTTTCATTGGCTCAAGTTAAAAAAATATCGATGTGAATCATTACCCTACATTTTTTTCATAATTAAATGAATGAAACATTTCTTTCAGTGTAGTTTCTAAAAAAAAATAGTTCCTACATTTAAAATTCACATGCACGAGGGCTTATATAGTACAGAACTTTGGGAAAGTACAATTTGTCTTTTACTTTAATTAAGTGAAAAAAAATCACATTAAACATGGACATGTGACTTTTGACAACCAAAAAGTGTTTAAATACTTTTTGCCTTCATTCTTAACAGTCTACACTACTGTTCAAAAGTTTGGGGGTCAGTTAGATTAATTAATACAAAATTAATAGGTTTATTTAGCAAGGACGGATTAAAGTGGCAGTAAAGACATTCACATGATAATGATAATAATAATAATAATAATAATAATATTATTATATATAAATATATATATATATTTTTTTTTCTTTTGTTTGTTTTTTTGGGGGGTTTTTTAGCACCAAATCAGCATATTAGAATGATCTCTGAAGGATCATGTGACTCTGAAGACTGGAGTAATGATGCTGAAAATTCAGCTTTGCCATCACAGGAATCAATTACATTTTAAAATATATATTTAAACAGAACACCCTATTTTCAAATTGTAATAATATTTCACAATATTACTATTTTAATGTATCAAATAAATGCAGCCTTTGTGACCATTAGAGACTTTTAAAATTATTTTTTTTAAATATTAACGACCCTAAACTTTTGACTGACAGTATATCCATTTCAAAAAAAGTTATTTTGTGAAATCATTTCTTTGACAAATATGCTTATAATTCTTTAAAATACATAACACACTCTTTAATATTTTGTTACAAAATATTGCATTATTTTTATACACGCATTATTTAAGCATTCATGCATAAATACAAAATACATTTTAGGGCCACTGTACAGGATATGACATTTTGAATATTTCAAAGCACAAAAGTTCAAAGTGTAAAATTTTTTCAGCATGATATTAGATTTGATAACATTTGGTCTTTATGAATAACAGCTTAGTTCTGGATGAAAGCATCTGTTAAATGAGTTAAATACAGGGTTTCTACAGACATGAACAAGTTCAATTTAAGACTTTAAGACCTTTTAAATACCACCTTATATGAAATTTAAGACCTAAACCTGTAATGGAAATACACATTTTATTACATACATATATGTAATATTTAATGAGTATAAATTAAAAAGAAAACAAAATATCATTGCTGTAATAAATAATATTTATTACTACGATATACAGTGAACTTTTCATGTCACCAGACAATATTCCATACAAAATATCCCGGCAAAATAACTGCATCACTGAGATTTTTGGTGGAGTAAACAATTTATTCAGAAGCAATATTTTCATCAGTGTTCTGTCAGCTTTTACATACTTAAATCTGCATATTTACCTTTACAAAGGCCTATTTTTTAACCTTTTTAGATTGTATGCATCATCTCACATGTCAAATTATTACAATGTATCAATAAATTCAATATACACTATAGGGCTGCTACCAGTCAGATTAAGTCATTTACACTGCAAATAACAATAATTACAACTAATGTGAATAATGTTATGAGATTAATGTTTTAAATGCATTTATGAATATACAACTAAGACATTTTGAGGGGAAAAATGCATACTTTTCAACATACTTCTCAACTAAACTACCAGTAAGTGACGGTAAGTCACTTAATGAGAGTCATTGAGTCATTCATTCAACTGATTAAGTGTGTTATCATGCTGCTATCTTAAGGACTTTCGTGGACAGCTGACTCCTAAAGTTTTTGATATTCTTCATATTCTGTGTGGTGGTCAAATATAAATTAATCTTTTCCAATAAGTTTAAATTGATTTTTACCTTTTATGGGCATTTTACCTTTATAAAGCCATTTTTCTATAAGTGTGCATTATCTTTTGAGTCAAATTCTTACATTTAATCAGTGCATAAGAATAATAAGACATTTGGGCTGTTACTACGCAAATGAAATCAGTATCAACAAAATTCATCTTTGCAATCCAGACATAAGCTACACCTGAATTGGCATTTAGAAGTATTTACACACTGTTTAATGCAGAAAATGAATGCATTTAACCTGCAGTTACAAATGCATAAATAATGTTTTGATATATTAAACATAAAACATTGAATACTGATATTTGAAATAATTTTTAAAATGAAAAGATACTTTAAATGTGAAATTAAAACCGCCAATAGGTAGCAGCAAGTCTCTGTTAATAAGTGAGTCATTGCGACTGACCCGAATCATTTAAACAGTTGATTCATTCGGAAACAGAAAGCTGTCATGTTACTCAAAGACGCAAAACAGCGCTGTGGCTTTGTTTGGAATTATTTTTGTTGGCGAAATAGTGCAAAAACAGGCAATATGGTGTCTAAAACGTAAGTCTCTTAATAAAACTTCTAGTTTATTGAACTGTTGTAAAAAATCAATATCACATTTGTATATGGTAATTTTTGGAGAAAAAATGTAAAACCACAACAAATTCATTGTGTTTGCGCACACTTAAGTGGTGAATAAAGCTCATTCTGATTCTGATTCTAATAAGAAAGCACCCCTACAACAACTTATGAAAGTTAGTGAACGGTAGTGTTTTACTCGAGCATTACATAAAAATGTCATTTTAACATTAGTGTAATCATTTTAACATGAGTTTAGAAACTGAATAATAAAAGGGGGAAAAAACTGCTTAGAATTTACTCTTTGAATTCAATATGCACTGATTCTTATTTAAGCTACCAAAGTTATTTAGGTAAGAGCAGTGAGTGATTTTCTCTTTGTCTTTTGTCCATGGCCCCAAATATTGCAAGCTGTAGCGATATGCATATTGCGATATGTACATTTGCGATATTTCGATAATTTCGATATATTGCACAGCCCTATTGTATATGATAATTTTTGGAGAAAAAAAGGCACTCTTCCGTGTGAACTTGATTAACTATATGAAGTGGTATAAATATACATCTTTTCTGCCCCCATGTCTTGAATTTGTGATCATTCTGAATGTATTTTAATAGACTGAATCATGCCGTGAAAGAGCGCATTCTAAAAGCGCACGCGCACTAGACTTCACGTAATGCATGCACTCTGTACGTGTTTTGAATGTTTTTTTGCGTCGTGAGAATATTGAGCAAAATAGCTCACTTGTCATGGTGTTACTTAACTATATCATGTTATGAATAAACTAAACATTTTGAATTTTTACCTCGGTGTGTTTCTTCTGAGTTTATGTGTGCTGTCACGCTAATTTGTTCGGAAGTCTCGAGACAAACAGAGTGAGCTTCAGCACGACCTTGTATTCTGTATTCTGCTAACTTACTGCAATTCTCTCTGATGACGCAGTAACTTGCCGCGGGGAAGAAAAAATCTTCGGTCTGTCCAATGATTAGGTCATTGGGTCATTAGGTCCGTCAGACTGAAGATATTTTAGCGGTAATGTGACCAAAAATATTTAAGACCCATCGAATCCGAATTTAAGACATGTTAAGACTTTTTAAGGCCTTATATTAGGAAAACGTTATAAACTAAACATTTTGAATTTTTACCTCGGTGTGTTTCTTCTGAGTTTATGTGTGCTGTCACGCTAATTTGTTCGGAAGTCTCGAGACAAACAGAGTGAGCTTCAGCACGACCTTGTATTCTGTATTCTGCTAACTTACTGCAATTCTCTCTGATGACGCAGTAACTTGCCGCGGGGAAGAAAAAATCTTCGGTCTGTCCAATGATTAGGTCATTGGGTCATTAGGTCCGTCAGACTGAAGATATTTTAGCGGTAATGTGACCAAAAATATTTAAGACCCATCGAATCCGAATTTAAGACATGTTAAGACTTTTTAAGGCCTTATATTAGGAAAACGTTATTGAAGACATTTTAAGACTTTTTAAGGACCTGCGGACACCCTGTAAATAACAACAAACATTCTGCATAAGAATTTATTATCAGCATTCTGATTTTCTAAATCAATTGCAGATTTTCATCTTTTGTAATAAATATATACTTACACAACTTGTTCCAGGTTATTCAACATTTCAGTGCTTTCACTTGAACAATGTAGGACTGCAATATTAATTTGGTCTAATATTTGAGATCACTGTACTGCTGAAAGATGAATGATTTTATAGCAGACTTAAACAACTTTCCTTGCAGTATTTTTCCCAAACCATTCATCCATCTGTGCCAACCTCCAATATAGGCCAGCGCTATACAGAGCTCTTTATATGGTTGACTAGTGCACCTTTATTCCGTTCTCAGCTACTGAACTCTGTAGCTGCTTCAAAGTGATTATTCGGCTCTTTGTGGCTTCTTTCATAAGTCTCCTTCTGCATGCAGGCTTTTGAGGGACAGTCTTTTCTATGCAGTAGCTGGATAGCTGACTTTGTGATAACTGAACAAAAAGTACTCTCTGGGGCATCTAATCGACATGGAGATACTGTATAGGGACATTTTTTTCTCATGTATG